AATTTCACATTCAGAAAGGCATGTTGGAATCTGCTAGAAAAGGAGTTTGATCAGATGTTGAAAGAGTTTCACAAAAAAAAAAAAGTCTCTGGAGAAAATGACTAATGCTGCATTTATATCTTTAATCCCAAAGAAGAATGGAGCGATAAATCTGAAGGGTTTTAGGCCAATCAGTCTAATCAGCAGCACTTACAAATTATTAGCCAAGGTTTTGTCAAAGAGGTTGAGAACAGTGCTACACAAAGTGGTGGGGAAGCTCAGATGGCCTTTGTGGAAGGTAGGCAGATTTTAGTTGGAGTTTTGGTAGCAAGTGATGGGATTTGGAGAGAAGTGGAGGAGCTGGATGTTTGCTTGCATCTCTACAGTGTCATATTCTATTCTCATTAATGGAATTTCTACGGAATTTTTCCAAGCTTCAAGGGGCTTAAGGAAAGGAGGCCCTCTCTCTCCTATCCTCTTTGTTTTCGTTTCGGAAATTCTAAATTTGCTACTGGAAAGAAGTTAACAGCTGGGTCTAGTTGAACGCTTCAAAGTGGGTAGAGATGGTCCATGCATCTCTCATCTGCAATACGCAGATGATACCTTTATCTTTCTGGACGCTTCTCTTGAGCAGATTTTAAATCTGAGAGCAGTGTTGGCAAACTTTGAGATGTTGACAGGGCTGAAGGTGAACCTATCAAAAAGTGTTCTGATTGGAGTTGGGAGGGTGGATAGGGAGGTTCTAATGGAATGCGCTGAAGCTTTTGAATATTAAACAGGAGAACTCCCCTTTACACATTTAGGATGCCGATTGGAGGTTCCTCAAAATCAGGTACACTTTGGAGACCAATAGTGGAGAGAGTGGAGAAAAGGCTGGATGGGTGGAAGGGAAAATACCGACTTATTATCTATCCTTACTTAGGATTCCATCACAAATAGCTGAGAGAATTGAAAAAAATTCAGAGGGGTTTTTCCTTGGTAAGGATTATCTGGGGAGGACAGGAGTAACAAGTTTCATTTGATAAGTTGGGGGAAAGTTTGTAGGCCAAAGGAGAAGGGTGGTTTGGGTTTTAGGAGGGTCAAGCTCATTAACAAGGCTTTGGTTGGGAAATGGTTGTGGAGATTTGGCTCAGGAAGGGAGGACAATTCTTTGTGGAGAAGAATGGTAGTGGGCAAGTATGTGATGGTGAGATTTGGGTGGGAATCTAGGGAGGTGAGGTCTTCATATGGGGTGAGTTTATGGAAGAGAATCATGAAATTTAGCCAAGATTTCAGGGGTCTAACAAGTTTTTCAGTTGGAGATGGAGCAAGAATCAGATTGGTGTGAACAGGTAAGCTATGTGAGCTTTGTCCAAGTTTGTATAGATTATCTGAAGATGAAATAACCATAAGCCAGTATTATGAGAGAAGGGGAGGACAGTTGGTTTGGTGTCCAATTTCAGAAGGTCTTCACTGGATAGAGAATTTGAGGAATGCATTTCCCATTTTCCCTTGTGGAGAGGTTAGAGAAAGTAAAAATCTCATATCGATCAAGGGACGAATTCTGGTGGAAAGAATGTTCAAATTGGAGGTTTACTGTTAAATCTTGTTATATGGCTCTCATCAGAAATATTTCAGATTCAGATCAGGTAGTTGCTGTTTGGGGAAATCCGGTTCCCCCAAGGATTGAAGCATTTGCATGGCTAGTGGCAATGGATGGTATTCTGACTGTGGATCATCTGAAATCCAGGGGCTTCAGTTTGGCTAATAGATGCATCCTCTGCAAAGAACAGGAGGAATCAGTCAGTCATCATTTTTCCTCTTGCAAGATTGCTGAGCTCTTGTGGAGGATTTTCACTACTATGTTCGGAGATTTGGAGTCTCAAACTTCCAACCAGCAACTACAGCAGGAATCTTCTCTTCATGGCCAAAACTACGAGGAAGTAAAAAAGCAAAAATGATTTGGAGTTGTTTTCCGTTTGCAATTTGTTGGAACATTTGGAGAGAAAGAAATAGAAGAATCTTCGAAGAAAAATACTGAAACTTGGACAAGATCGTGGCAGCTGTCAGCACTAGCAGATTGGGTTCTTGCAACTCCAGAATTTAATCATGTCTCTAGGGAGGATTTGGGAAACATTTTGGAATTCCAGCTGTGTAATCTATGATAGTTTTATGTATTTCTGTATCCCTGCTCCCTAGCAGATCTTTATTTTTCTTTTTGATTCCCTTGAAGTGCAGGTAATGCCTTATCACCTGCTAGGTTGTAATCCTTTTTTTATTTTAATGAATTTTATTTTTATCTTCAAAAAAAATGCAAGACTTTTCAAGGAAGAGGAGAGATTTGTGGAAGCAATCCTAGAATGTATTCTCTCAAGGGTGATTCATTGGGTCAAGTCCTTGGATTTGTTCTCACCTTTTTCCTTTGACATAAGAAGGAATTGGAGGGAAGTGGCTTCTCTTTTTTGATCAATAAGTGGCTTCTTCATCTACAAGTAAATTTAGGATAGTTAAGAGTTGAGAACCTCCTCCAGGAAGCTTCATAAAACTAAATTTTGATGGGAGTTGTCTTGGTAACCCAAGGCTCCTCAGATATAGGAGGGGCTTTTAGGGATAAAGATGGAACCATTTTAGTTTTATTCTTGGGTCCTAGTGCTCAAAGAGACTCCATTAGAGCTAAACTATCAATTGTTCTTGTTACGAAATTATAGGCTGTAAATATGTAGTATTAGCCCAATTAGGAATAGCTTGATTATAGGAATTATTCTTTCTTTGATTTTCTTCCTATTTTAGTATCTACAAGGCTATATGATTTTTTTGTATCTGCAAGGCTGTATGATTTTCTTCCTTTTTAGTATCTACAAGGATGTATATATATGTACTATTTTCTCAATTGAAAGATATCAATTTCTTCCAATTCTTGTTCTATCACATGTAGACCTGTTCATGGGTCGGGTGGCCCGACGGGCCTGAACATGATTATAGGCCCGCGGGTTTTAAATTCGGGCCAAAAAGCCCGGCCCGCAATAAATTCGAGCCGGGCTCGGGTTTTGTCAAAATAGCCCGGCCCGAGCCCGGCCCGACCCGACCTAATATTAAACTTAAAATTAGTTATGTGATTATGTCCATTTGAATAAATTTTTTGATTTAAGAATGTAAAATTATGTTTTAAAATATAAAAGAAAGAGAAAAATACCATCTTGTAGGCCCATTGTTCATTTAAATAGAAAAAAAATACTATCTGAATTTTTAATTCTAATTTGAATAGGGAAAATTGTTTCTTTTTTCAATTAGGTCGGGCTTCGGGCTCGGGCTCGGGTTTCGGGCTTTTTACCAAGGCTGGGCTCGGGCCCAAGTTATAGGCCCGTTGGTCGGGCCGGGCTCGGGCTCAGGCCTAGTATATTTTCATTAGTGACAAGTGAAAGCCCGGCCTGAGCCCGGCCCATGAACAGGTCTAATCACATGGTATCAGAGCTGGAGACACCAATTCCAGTCTGAAACTAATTTCTGGTTTTCTTCCCTCTACTGCCCAAGTGAGCAGCTTTGAATTCTTTACG